TTATGATAATCGTTATTCTATTCAATACAATTTACAATGCTAAAATATTGAAACATGAATTATAATCAACCCACAAAAAAAGTCTAAATGACACCTCGATTAATCCAACACAATTCTCGCAGAGCTCAACTTTGACACCCGATTTTGCTCGATCTGACTCATCCTATTCGATTTTTTTGGACTAGTTGGACTAGTTGGAAGATCTGGTGATAGTGGCACTCCGCCAAACAAAGTGAAAGCATCTCCTGGGGGCATGCTAACATCCTCATCACCAAATACAGTCAATACATAAGTTCCCCTTATCATATTTCTGAAGCAAATGATTGCGTACACTATTGTAATCGCGACCAGTACAAAGGTTGTTGTAAGGAAAAATGTCAAAAATCTTCGGGTATACAGATAGGGATCATCGTCAGGGTCACGTTTCATATTTACTCGCACCAGACGATATAACAAGTATCCTTCACATAAGCACAATAAATTGATTACAATTAGAACTCCGTATTTTTGTTCTTTTGTCACTGCCCACCACGCTAACAATAACATCAATGGTCCAAGCGCACAGATCAGTATTGTTTCGAACATCGAATCGGAGTAGCCTATCCGTTGAGAGGGGATCAATTGTACCGCATAAGAAAGCACGAAGAACACGTCCATCTTAATCAGTGTTTGCAGTATCGTTAATGCCACGTAAGCGTTCCGTATTTTCACATCAGCGGAATACTTTTTATAATTCTCCCAACCGAATTCCACCATTAATTTATATGACAAGAATGTGAATATGTTGAAGTATATGGTCACAAGCCCAATGATTATGTATTCAAATGGTCGTAGTCGCATTTCGAAATAGCGTTTTGCGTCGTCGGGATTTGCGAATTCACCTGGATGTAGGGGTGTCCAAGACGCCTGGTTAAGTCCTTCGTCCTCAAGTATCTTGTGCTGGTATAATTGAATGCCGGCATAGGCTAATGAGAGTAGATTAAAGACTACCAAGGCGACTATTTGTGGGTTGATTATAATTCATGTTTCAATATTTTAGCATTGTAAATTGTATTGAATAGAATAACGATTATCATAA